TGTTGGAGATTAACAATATATAAATATATAGACAGTATTAACAGTTTAGAAGCCGGAAATGCGGCATGCGCCAACACTTCCGGTGAAACGAACACATGTTGTAAAAACATTAGTGATGAGAACGAGCGTGCGAATGGAGATTGTTATATAGGGCGAGATATTAAACTAGTAAAAACGGAAAGAGATTGTTAACTAAACCTGTGTTTATAAAACTGTGAATTGTCGTAAACACAACAGGAGGCAATTTACGACATTAGGAGTCTATATATATATATATATATATATATATATATATATATATATATATATATATATATATATATATATATATATATATATATATATATATATAGTATGGTGATACCTCTGTTAAGGGTTATGCAATAGTGCCATACAGCCAACCTCCACAGAACCAATCAAGAGAATCTTAAGTAATTGTAATATTAAGGTTGCCTTAAAACCCTATTTGACTTTAGGCCATATTATCGCAAAGCCAAAAGATCCTGTTGAAACAAATCAGAAGACGCATGCTATATATTCTATACCATGCGGTGACTGCGACAAAGAGTATTTGGGTCAGTCTAAACGCCAGTTTGGTACACGGCTAAAAGAACATCAAAAGGCTGTTTCAACTTTAGACAAGGAAAAATCAGCTTTAGCCGAACATGTATGTTACACCAAACACGAGATTGCGTGGGAAAACTCTAAAGTAATTACCACAAACAATCGCTATGGTCAAAGACTTTGCCTAGAAGTGTGGCATATAAATATGAGTCATTATGCTTTGAATAGGGATGACGGTGCCTATTTGCCAAAGGAATATATGCATCTTCTTGGCAGGTGACGTCATCCCTTGGGTATTTAAGAAGCCATGATCGCAGTTTTAGACATAGATATAAGAGACCTAGATTGCTAACGCATACCTGGCGCAGGCGGGGCCTACATGATAAATCCAAGATGGCGGTACAACAGGGCAAAAAGACTATAGATTCTATTACGAAAATCAGGATTTTTTGCAGTTCTTGCCGTCGCATTGTTTCGAAACTTATTCGGTCAAGTTTTATGGTAAAGAGAAACTTACCGCGAAGATTTTGAGCATATATATGATTGAATTGGATGAAAACTCGCAAAATTATCCATCGATGAAAGTTCGTGTGAAATGGTCACTTGGTCAGTTCGAGCGTTTCATTGCCAGAAATACTGTGCTATGTTAACATCTAGCCTCGTGAATGGTGTTTTATACTTGCAACAAACATTGTGAAAGCAGTAGAGAAATAACATGAGAATTAATTGTGGTAGTCGTATTCGTTCAGGTCAAGAATGCCCAAGACTTGGAATCATGAAATGGACATATTGTATTTATACTGTCCTGTCAAGATTATTTAGTATTTTGAATGGATTTATGTTTTTATGTCTTTTATAGATAGGTATATCCGATTGCTGATATTTTGGATAAAAATCCATGCTTATGACAGTAACTATTCTTTTTCAATATAAATTATAAAACTATAATTGTGCTATTGTTCCTGTAATTTAGCTAATTACCACATTTTTTGTATTTTTCAGTATGCATAATACTTAACTGGAATTGGTATTTTATAAACATTCGAACTGGCATATTATATTTTAATTATTGTAAATTTATGATCTAGGGAATAGGGGCCTTAAATGATAGCCATGTGGTTTCTGTTAGGTCCCAGCTAGCCCCAATTCTTGTAAATACTAAATTTTCTTTGATTTACTTTTTAGACAAAAAAATAAATAGTGTGGCAAGTAACAAGATTGATATATATTTTTTGAAATGCAGTATTGTATAATATTTTAGAACATAAGGAGTTGTTCAATTATATATAAGCTCTTTTTTAACTAACCTGCCCCATTGTCATCACTTGTCATCATCTGCTCCATCCCCATAATTATGAAAAATGAACTGTTATGTCCCCCCCCTTAGAGAAGAAAAACTGATGGTCTATCATCTATGGTCTGTTATAATTTGCTTTTTATGCAAATAGTGAGCAAAAAAGCAAAACTGTATATGTTACATATGTTTATTAAAGTTGCATTAAATTGTTATTACAATGAACTTGACGATGTTTCAAATAATGCCCCCCCCCCCCATGTAATGAGCAGCCCCTTTCTGACCATCAGGGCCACCGAGAGAATTTGTGGGGCCCGGGGGGGGGAATCTTCCCTGGGGGGCCCATGACATTATTTTTAAGCTACAATCTTGGACATAACTGGTTGAGACTATTTCCCCCCTATAGAAAATTCGCGTATTTTTATGATAAACTCCATGTTGAATCATGTTACCATTATTAAACCCCCGCTCCCCCCAACTCAATGTTGAGCTTGTATCATGGTATATTACCAAAAGTTGTTTCGGCGTTGTTCACAACATTGAACTGGAGGGGGAGGGGGAGACAAAGTTTGTTTTGTCAATGTTCAATAACTTTGTAATATTAGCTGGAATGGTCTCAAGGGTTTTGTCCAAGATTGTAGATCCAACTAGACATTAGACTGTATGAGGAGGTACTGTAAGGGGACCTCAATTTCAAAAATTCTCTGAGCAATTTAAAGAACACTTCTTTTAAGGATCTTGCTCTCAAGTTGGGGCCCTATTAAGGTGGGGGCCCGGGGCAATTTACCCCCACCGCCCCCTTGGCAACCCTGCTGACCATGGCAATGACACACCGGTAGCAGTCCTTAATGAACAATTGTTTCACAATCTTCTCATATTTTTACCAAAATGCTATAAAATATTTAACTATTTTTGAATGAGTTAATGTTCAAGTATTAAAAGACAGCTGCCCAGAGCTTTTTGGGGGTCCAGTTGCAAATTGCCCTATTAAAACTGTCCTCTGAAGCATTAGATCTTCTATTAATACTAGAATTTCCTGCGTATTGTGTGTTCATTTTTTAAATTAATTTTTTCTTGTTGAGTTTGCCATACATGTGACAAATAACCCTTTTTACCAAGTCAAATTTCAACAAAAAGTCTAATAAATGCTGGAACCTATTCCCCAGGTAGTGTGAAAAAAAACGCGGGAACTTTCAAAAGTCCAACACGCGATCTGCACTGCTGTTTAGAACTTATTTTGCAAGGGAAAAAAAACGTTCTTTTCAGAACGCCTTTGTCGTTAATCAGTTTCGTTATTACGAGGGACAAAGTTATTTTGTTATTTGCGTAAAATGCCGGATTCGTGTGCTGCGTACAACAGCACGAATAGGAGAGTGAAATCAAGTGACGGAACCACGTTGTCATTTCACAAGTAAGTTAAAAAACTGAATAAACGGTGCTTTTTTATTCAAGAAAAAATTAATGTGATGGTAAAAAACTATGTGATCACTGATGTATGACAAATTTGGCCATAATATCTCCATTATTGATAATTCTTAAAAAAGGAAAATACAGAGAACTGCTGTATGTTGATGGGTGGGGGCCAGTCAGGGATGGCGCTACCGGAGGGTGTGGGGGGATGTAACCCCTCCCCCCCCCCAAAAGTTGGTCAAAATGGAACTGGTATTTGCTCAAAGTTGGTCAACATGGAACTAATATTTGCTAAAAATTGAAGGTCAAAGTCGGTAAATTGTGGTGAAAAATTGGCAAGCCTTGCTTGTTTTGGTCAATTTTTTTTTTAAATATGCTTATATTAGTCTGGAAAAATTTCTAAGTAATTTTCTAACCGTTTCTACTTATGCCCTGATAAAAAATTTCTTATCAGAAAAAACATCTGTATTATTTTAATTATAATTGTGGTAAAGTGATAGTAGAATGCATTTGAGTTAATGCAACCACTGGTTTTACTATAGATTTCCTTTGAAAAACACCAGCTTGTTAAATAGTTGGGTGATGGGCATGAAACGGGATCAGTGGAAACCATCTAAATATTCTGTCTTGTGTGAGAAACACTTCACACTAGATGATTATGTGATGGGTGCTATACCAACAAGCTCAAGAAGTATTTAAAGCCAGATGCTGTCCCCTCCGTTTTTTATTTTCCGCCACACCTTGAAAAGGAAACTAACCCACGAAAATGTTCCATGAAGAGAAAAGCAGCCAGTACCGGTGCAGTCCGAGATGTTCCTAACAAGAAATCTAAAAGGAAATTTCAGCCAGTTGGTCATGACCACATCTACTGCACGTCTCCTAGTAAGGTTATTCCAAAAATGAAGAAGTTCCTAGAAAATAAAAGAAAAAAAGATCAAGAGCCTATCTAAAAAAAGTCTTCGAAGGGATAAAACCGTTAAGGGGTTACTGAAGAAGCTGCGAGATCTGAAATATTTGTCAAAAGAACAAAGTGAAAATTTGATGTCAAACTTTGGTTACATGACAAAGGAGCTATTTATAAATTAACACAAAAATAACCAAAAATCGAAAGCCTCGCGGTACAGCGAGTCCATCAAGCAATTTGCAGTGTCATTGTATTTTTATAGCCCAAGGAGCTACCGGTTTGTTAGAAAATCACTTCACTTACCATGTCCAGCAGCCATAAGATCATGGGCAGCAGCCATAGATTGTGAGCCTGTTTTTTTTACTGATGTCATTGATGAATTGAAGAATAACCTGGATGAAGATGAGAAAGATTGTGCAATATTAGTGGATGAAATGTCTATAAAAAAAGAAGTACTGTGGGATGGAAAGAACAAAAAGTTTGCTGGCAACACAGATTATGGATGTATTTTAGCAGAGGAACAAGACAGTATAGCAACTAATGCCTTGGTTTTTATGACAGTTGGACTTAAAAAGCCATGGTTCAATGGTAAAATGCAAGCAAGCACAGTTAATCAAAGAAGCAATCAACTTACTGACTGAAGCGGGACTAGATGTCCAAGCAGTAGTATTTGATGGTTGTGCAAAAAACTTGACGACTGCTAGGTGCCTTGGATGCACTTGACAAATTTGACGGATCATCCAACCACCCATCACGGCCAAACAAAACTATATATGTCATTTTGGATGTGTGTCACATGTTAAAGCTTGCCCGTAACAGCTTGGGGGACAAAAAAGTTTTTCACACAGACACTGGTGCCAAAATCTGCTGGAATTATATCACAGAACTATATAATGTCCAGAAGAGTGATGTTCTTCACCTTGACAACAAGCTTAAAGTGGCATAATCAAGTGGCATAATCAAGCATATCAAGTGGCATAATCAAAAAATGAAGGTGGCAATTGCAGCACAAACCCTTAGCAATTCTGTAGCTGCTGGATTAATGTACCTGAAAAATATTAAAGTGCCACAGTTTCTAGACAGTGATGAAACAGCAGAGTTCATTTTGAAAATAAACAACTTGTTTGATATTTTAAATTCAAAAAGTAAATATGGAAAACATTACAAGAGCCCTATTAGACTGGAAAATTTGGATGAACTTAAGTATTATGTACATGAGACCATTGCATACTTAAAGGAACTCAAAGATAGCGAAGGAGTTAAACTAATAGATGGTCCCAGGAAAACATTCATCTTGGGGTTTGCTCTGTCATCTAAATCAATTCTAGCTTTGGCAAAACACCTACTGACCAGAAATTACAATCAATTTGAGTATGTTCTCACTTACCGGCTCTCTCAAGACCAACTTGAGATGTTCTTCACTAAGATACGAAGTCGCCTGGGATGGAACAACAATCCAAACGCATTGCAGTTCAAGTGGGCTCTCAGGGCACTATTACAGAAGAACCAAGTAGCTGCTTCTCCAACTGCCAATTGCTCTGTCGTCGAAGAAGGCAAACTAGCAGAAGAAGCTACTCACTTAGACAAGAAGGTCACCAGCATCTTAGATTGTTCCACCATTTGGCATGAGGATGTGTTATCATATATTGGAAGATATATTGTCAAAATAATAACCAAGTGCCTGAAGTGTGCTGAATGTGTTGCAGCCTTAGTTATGGAGAATAACGGCCAACCTTCCTTGGCTGATCACACATATGGTCAATCATACTCTTCCATGCCAAGTCTGATTTCTTTCAAGAGCTATGATAGTCTGATAAACCCATCCACATCAGTGTTAAAGACCGTAAAAGTAGCTGACAGTCGTCTCCGTCTTCTGGCAGCCAAGTGGAGTAATTTGCCAGAAAAAGCACTGGAAACATTGCAACGGGACGTGCTACAAGAAGTGAAGCCAAGTGCTTTTCAGTCACTGCAACAACACTCCCAAGACACTCGTGTACTGGACAAAGATCTTCGTGACGACCACATCACCATCCTCGTAAAGAAAATCACGGATTTGTACAGCAAGATATTTCTTCACCAGTTCTCGAAAGTCTATTCAGAACGAATTGTCAGGCAAGAGGCACCATCAAAACGGCAAAAGCTAAATAAACTCATTCTTTTTTGAAACGACAAGCAAATTGCCAAAGTATAAAAATATAAAACTTGACTGAATGCGACGAAACAATGCGACGGCAAAAACTGCAAAAAAATCCTGATTTTCGTAATAGAATCTATAGTTTTTTGCCCTGTTGTACCGCCATCTTGGATTTATCATGTAGGCCCCGCCTGCGCCAGGTATGCGTTAGCAATCTAGGTCTCTTATATCTATGGTTTTAGATCACCCCTGATGAAGACACTAGACTGGAGTGTCGAAACGTTGGGTCTTGACTACAATTCGACTGGGCTTTGTAATCATTTATTTAAACCAGAGTAGCGAGCGAAACATGAGCTACCTACTTTTACCCAAATTATCCATTTGGCTCCTGCCAATATTTACCCAAATTATCCATAAATAACCCTAAGTATTGAGAAAAATTCAAGAATATTACTAAAAAAGCCAAAGCTGCTGTTTATTTTAACCAGTATGAACATGTTTACGTTCTTTTAAAACTGACATTTTACTGCACTGAGGATTCAACGACAAGAACAATGAATTTGGAGATGTGTTAATGCCAAATAAATCCTGTTACAGTCAAACCGGATGTTCTCTTGCGAGCAACATTGCAATATTGTCCCACAATATTGCAATTTTGATAAGCATATTCCTCTGAGCAATTTGCAATTCACAAACGATTTGTAAACAAAGCCTCTGATTGGACTATAGGAAAGAGGGAAGCCAATCAAATAGTCTGAGCGACTGGATTGGTGCTTCCCTCTTTCTTATAGTCCAATCAGAGCCTTTGTTTTCAAATCGTTTGTGAATTTCAACTTGCAATTTGTTCGCGTCTGTTGCAAATTGCTCAGAGCAATCTGCCTATCAAAATTGCAATATTCTGGGACAATATTGCAATGTTACTCGCAAGAGAACATCCGGTTTGACTGTAAGCGGTCAAAATGACATCTTATAGCCCGACAAAAATGGCATATTGTAAACACTGGACTTTGGACTATGGACTTTGGACTTTTGATTTTGAAATTATATTATTTTTAAGATTTTCGTATAATTATATTAATTAAAATCTAAACAGAGAACGAAAATTTGTGCATGATACAATATTCAAGGTAAAAAATACTGTCAGTTATATAGGTATACCAGTGCAATTTCATAGATATAGCCTGTGGGATAACAGGATCATCTCAGTAATATTTTTAAGTTAATATTTAAATTTTATTATAATATTTGTATTTATAGTATGTATAGTACAGTTTATACTGCAGAACTTCTTCTTTATCGTATATATAATAGATTTATAGAAACAATTGCGACAAAAGTAGCTTTGCAAATACAAAATATTGAGAAACTATCACGTATAAGTATAAACTACACGCGATTATTATTGCGCCTTTGGCTTTGAACAATTATTCGCCGAAGGCGAGGCCGTGATTATCCGGGAATTTGTAGTCTCCCTCGCAGGCGCCAGTTGTGTACGTTCTCTCTGATGTCTGCGAAGGAGGCTAGGGAATCAGTTGTCAAATTTGACCAATCAACTTGACAACTTGTAGGATTTGTTGTACTATTTATTCACTTG